AGAAAAATAAAACAAAGAAAGAAAAAAGAAAAGATAAAAAAAATGAGCTGACCAGACATTATACGCCTCCTAGAGAAGCCAGCCCCCACTTGCAGCCGTCTGGGTCTGGCCGTGGATTTGCAGGATGCGCAGAGGACAGGGCGGAGCCGAAGCTCAAGTGTGCAGTCAGCGACGTCAGACCGTGGGGATCGCTGCAGTCATACTCCCAGCTTCTTCCAACAAAAAAAGTACACGGAAATAAAAGGGATGGAGGAGGAACCCACAAATTTTAAAAGACTTAAAAGACATATCAGATTTTTCAAATGGGCAAGAATGCATTGTCTAGAGATACACATTTGGGTAATAAAATGAATGTAAAAGACACAGGTGTGATTCCTTGAAAGTCAGGAGAGGGGTTTCTCGTGGGGGCCGCGGGTGGGATGGGACATGTGGAAGGGCCTTCTGGGGGTGTGTGGCAAAGTTCTCTTTCCAGGTGTTTGTCTTGTAATAATCCATTAATTCGTATGCTAGGTTTGTGTGGTTTTTTGTATTTATGTTTTGTTTTTATTAAAAAAAAAAAAAAACTTTGGAAAAAGGAAGGGAGGAGGCATTGGATACAAGCAGATAGAGGAATCACAAAGACCTGGGTAAAAATCCACATTCTGCCTTTTGTCAGCTATGTGACCTTCGGCAAATTACTTAACCTCTACCCCTCAGTTTCATTATCTGGAAAAGTAACTATAAGAGTAATTACCTCCTAGCATTATGGCGGGATAATGCATATAAATCCCCAAGCACCAGGCCTGGCCCAGGCTAAGTGCTATAAATGTTAGTTGTTTGGTCCTGGAAAAAGGACTGCGTCTAAGAAACCCTCAGTGCCATTTTCAACTCCAGCCCTGACTTGCTGTGTGGTCTTGGTAAAGTCACTTCTCTCTGAAGTCAGATACCTTCGGATTTTCCTTATAATCCCCGGGCCTTGTACGAGTGATAGTGCTGAGGTCCAGTAACCTGCCTGCTGGGACGGGAGGAACGGATCTGCCGGTACTTGCATTTCCTCTAGCAAGGCGCCAGCCGCAGTCACTGCAGGAGGCAGCAGGCGAGAGGAGGTGTGGAATAGCAGCGCTCCCCGTGCTGCCAGCAGGTGAAAATGTGCCCCAGACACACAGCGGAGACAGTGAATTGGCTTCTGTCATCCTGTGCAGGGAAAATCGTGCTGTTTTTACCCTTGTTCCTGGGCTGCCTCTCGTACACCTCGTTTGCCGTCTTAATCAGGCCGAACTTACAGACAAGTTGAGCAACCTTGTTAATTATAGCAACCTCCAGGATTCATCTTTTTCTCTGCATTTCTCTATTTTACATAAGTAGAATCATACCATACAGATTATTTTGCTGCATTTTGTGTTTTTAAGATTGCTCTGATTGATTAAAAAAAAGAGATTCACTTTTTATAGACGGGTTTCATTCAGATCCTGCTTCCCCAGGAGCATAAGAGAGACCAGTCCCTGATTCCTTAACTGAGATGAGAAGGAGAAATCAAGTTAGATGGAGTGTCTGGAGTCACTGCCCCTGAAGTATCTGGACATGGGAATGTGAGTTTATAAGGAAATTCAATTTAATGTCTAACAATTCAGTCAATGCACTGGCATCTACTGTGAGATTCAGTCTACCCTGAATTCCTAGGAAGATTTCTTCTTAAGATCCCCTTAAATGACAAATCCTTTAATGTTAGACCCCATCAAAATGCTTTAAGAAGCTGCTTAGTTTCTCATGTATTTATTTATGTTTAATTGCAGTAAAATATCTATAACATAACACCATTTTAACTGGTTCATGTGCACAGTTTGGTGGCATTAAATATATTCACAACCATGCAACCATTGTCACTATCCATCTCCAGAACTTTTTCATCTTGCAGAACCGAACTTCTATACGCATTAAACATTAACTCCCCATTCCCCCTCCCCTTAGCCCCTGGCAACCACCATTTGCTTTCTGTCTCTGTAAATCTGACTGCTCTACCGACCTCATGTAAGTGGAATCATGCAGTAGTTGCCTTTCTCTGACTGGCTTATTTCACTTAGTACAATGTCCTCAAGGTTCATCCGTGTTGCAGCATGTGTCAGAATTCCCTTCCTTTTTTAAGGCTGAGTCATATTCCATTGGATATGTAGACCACATTTCCTTTATTCATTCATGTGGTGACGGGCACTTGGCTTACTTCCATCTTCTGGTCACTGAATAATGCTGCTATGAACGTGGGTATGTCGGTTTCTCTTGACAGTTGTCCACTAATCCTTTATTCCGATTATTGGGTGGTTGTTCTGATTGTACAGGGCAGAATCTCAAGTAGGTACTAATAGTCAGTTAACAGCTCTCTTGAACACCTACACCCTGGGCTCAGGACCTGTGTAAATGGCAAGGTAGCAGGAGGCAGGAGACGGGGTGGGGGCAGCCAGGGCTGGGCTAGAACAAGGGCCCAGAACGAGCTGTAGATTCACAGCTGTAACTTCCCTGCATTGGGAAGGTTTTCTTGGGAATAATTTATGAAAACTATGATTATTTTTCCATTTCCTAGACTCTGTGATTGTTTTCCTAAGAAGCTAAATAGTTCCTGTGTGATTATATATCCCAGGCGTTGTGTGGAATTTTGACTAAAATACCGAAACCCGGGGCTGTTTGCCCATCACTCATCCATTTGTCCGACTCCCCCCAGTGAGTTCACAGCACTATTCACACTGCTTAGAGCCAGTGGAGGTTTTAGTAAGCTCTAGAAAAATCGATGGAGAAAAGGAGGATTGAAGCAGGCGCCCATTTAGGAAGGAGATGGCCGGCTGACGGGCAAGTACAGTGGCCTGAGTTGCTGACTGCTGATGTGCTGTGTGGCCAGGGCCCACTTACACAAAAGTTAAGGCAGAACAAGTGGGCCGCTCTATCCAGTGTGGTTTGTAGGCACTGGGAAACCTCCGCCCTCCGTCCTAAGACAGCCGTACTACCGCCACCTTCTAATCGAGGTGCCTCACATCCCACCGTTCAGGCACGTTAGACACTCAGTAGCAGTGTCCAAATGTGTCAGAAAGGATGTTCCTTTTCAGAGCACTCTTTTAAAATGCACATGTTCCTTACAGAGCTCTCTGAATTTCTGAGGACTTTTAGAGTTCCTCTAGGTTGGTTGTTATCAAACTGCTGTCAGGGCCTCTGGGGAGTCGGGGGCCTTTAAAGAGGAAGGGAGGAGCCAAGCCAGATGGGGCTCCGGTGCCCCGCCCCCCACTGCAACCACAGCAAGCTGCTTTTACCTGTTTTAATAAATGTTTACAGGAACCAGTAGTTGCAGTACCAAGAAAAGGGGGGAAAATGTTTGAAAAATCTGATGCAGAGCAACCCACTTGTTGAACAGAGGAGGCCCAGGGAAGTTGACATAAAGGGTTCAAAGTCACGTAGCCAATTCATCCAGCAGATATTTACCAAGCACCTGCAACGGGCCAGATGCACAGTAAACAAAGATGAGTGCACAAGTCTGTGCTGTGAAGAGTGAGCTCTGCTCCCCAGGATGGCTCCTCTGCAGCCTTGGTGGGGCACAAGGGGCACTGTTAGCAAGGAAGGGGGACAGCCTTCCCCCTACCCACAATATATTCCAGCCACATCGTCCTGACACCCCAGCTATAAGTGACGCCATCTCTCCTGTGCATGTGTGTGTATCGTCCCTCCACCGTCTCGTTTCACTCTTGCCAAAGCCCTTCAGTGTGCGTACCTACTGTGTGCCAAGCACGGCTAGCACGGGAGGCTACAAAGCTAATTAAGACACAGTTCCTGCTGCCAAGGATCTTCCAGCCAAACAGGAGAGAAAAGCTCTACATAAATGATCGCAATAGAGTCAGCGCTACATGCCAAAAGGAGGCACTGATAACTTATCAGCCTGGGAGTCTGGGTCAGGGAGAGAAGAGCTACATCTAGCCAGAGGAGGTGGCATTGGAACTGGGCCTCTCTCACCTTTCCAACTTTTAGGTTCCGAACGTGGATGCTGGAGTCAGGCAAGCCCAGTGGGCCATGTGACTGTGTGAGCTTGGACAAGGGAGGTGGGCTCCCAGAGCCTGGTCTGAAAAACGTGGCTGATAATAATAGTTCCTATTTCGGAGGGTTATTGTTGCGTTGAATAAGAAAATGCAGGCCCACCTCTTAGCCTCAATACATGTGCCTCTTCTTTCTGGACTCCAGAGATGGGGCGCGGGCGGGAGAGAAGCATTCCAGACAGAGGCTCTGCTCAGCGCAGAGAGGGGAGGCAGGCAGCGTGGCGCAGGGTGCTCACAGCACGCAGAGGAAGGAGCACTGGGAAATGCCCTAGGAACCGGGCGGCAGAGCCAGGGACACGGGGCCCTGCGAGGCCAAACCGAGGACTTGGGCCCCTGGAACTCATGTATTAGTTCTAATAATTTCCTTGTAGGTTCCTTAGGATTTTCTATATACAAGACCATGTCATCTACAAGTAGGTAGTTTTACTTCTTCCTTTCAAACCAGGATGCCTTCATTTCCTTCGCCTACCTGATTGCTTGGCTGCTTCTGCCTCCTGCTGTTGTTGGCTGTGTGAGAACCAGGCCTGGCTGGGGTCAGAGGGAGGGACAGACAGCTCCCTGGAGGGCTGGCCAGACGAAGGGGACATGCAGGCCTGGCCAGGAGAGGGTGGGGCAGAGCTCTTAAACTCTCACATGCAGGCGCTCCCAGGTACCCCCGCAGGCAGGTCTGGGGGGCGAGGACAGGCACATGCTTCTCTGGAGTAGTCAGGCACTGTTCATGGAGCACCTCCCCAGGTGTTGCCTCTGAGGACACAGAGATGACTCAGACCCAAATTTGACACCACGGTCCAGTCTGACCAGTAATTAAGGAATTACAGCTGGCTTGCCAAGGGTTATAATTGAGGTCTGTACAAAGTTGAGAAAAACCCTAGAGGAGGAAGCAAATTAACCCTGTCTGGTGGGATTGAGGGAGGCCTTTAAGGAAGTGGCATCAGAACTGGGTTGTAAAGAATCGATTGACTTGTCAGGCTGAGAGGAGGGGAGCGGGCTCTGGCAGAGAGAGCAGCATTTGCAAAGGTACTGGGTGAGAAGGGGAGAGTGGAGTGTCGGAGATGAGCCTGCACAGGAAGCTGGGACCGAAAGCCCTTGTGCGGAAGGGTCAAAGGTATTAACACAAACCTAGTCACTGCCTGGCCCTCTCCCTCCGTTTCCAGAGTAGATTCTGTTTCACTGCTTGTCTCCTGAGCTTTCGTGGGGCTGATTGGAGTAATGAATAAAGAAGGCCGACACTGGGAGAGCTGGAAAGAAATGGCCCGGTGCCCTGCAACAGATCAGAAAGATTGGAGAGTGGGCGAGAGAAGGAAAGAGGGAATAAAGGGAGAACCAAGGCAAGCTGAAGTTTTGGGGGAGCAAAGAAAGGGAGATTTGATGGTGAGCAGCGGATACAGTAGGTAACGCTGTGAAGTGATGGGCAAAGAAGTTCTTTAGGATGTTTTTGCCTCTTTTCTTTTCCTGGATGTTGGACTTGAATTTCTCTGGAATGTAATACCACGAGTAGACTGGACACAAGACAGCCCAGCTTTATTCGGGTTATGCTGTATTTCACAGAGGGGGGTTTCCACATATCTCCACGACAGTGGCAAGCTGTGAAAGAGTTTTGAGTAGGGGAATTGGACCGTGGTTCTGGAAAGATCATCTGGCTTCTGTGTGGAAGGGGCTGAGACCAGGAGCAGGAAGACCAGTTAGGAAGCTGTTACAGCAGTTGAGAGGAGATATTGTCAACGTGTGAACCAGAGCAGTGGTGGCACAAGATGGTCATTATCTCTGCTCTTCAGTAATTGGTAGTGCAGAGTTTTGAAGTAGGTCTGAGTATGAGACAGTAGCACCAGGAAAGAAATTCCCTTTACCTGTGGGGCGATTAAGGTCGTGATCACATGCTGGGGCCTTAGATTTTCTTTGTGTAAATACACACCCAGAAAGTAGCCTGTTTGAGCAGCACAGGACTTTGGTCTGTCACCGGAGAGACTCACCTTTCACTTCTGCAGTGCGTGGAGAGATCTAGACAAGATCACTTACTTTTTGGTTTCTTGACTTGCTCACACCCCCTAGGAACTTCGTCCCTCTGCGAATGAGTAGAGTCTGTCCTGAGATAGCATTTTCCAGAGAAAGCAGCCAGAAGTAAGGTTTGCTGTCAGTCACTAGGGAAACGATTGCTGTTAGAACTGGCCACCTACCCAGCAGGACAGAAAGTTCCTGGGTGAACTATGACACGGCCCCAGCTTTCCCTCAGGCATGCTGGAAATGAGGGAGAGAGGTCGGAGTCTTATTCATACTCCCAACTCCAGCAGCTCAGCCTAGCATAACACCTGGGACCACATTGTTGCTTAATTAATAGTTCCTGAATATATTAATGAATTAGCATAGCATGAAACCCTGAAAATGGTCATGTTAGGTCAGAACTGTGGTCTGTTCACAGCAGGATTGATCCATTCGTTTATTCATCATTTATTGAGCTCCTCCTACCAATCAGATTTGGATTAGGATGGTGGTTCACAATCTTGGCTGCAAAGGAACCATCTGGAGAGTTTTTAAAAATCCTGATACCCAGACATACTCCAGACCAATTAAATCAGAATCGTGTCCAGGCAGATGAGACGCAGGCATCAGTATTTTTTAAAACTCCCCGTGGGATTCCAACATGCAGCCAAGGTTGAGAGCCACTGGGTGAGATGCTAGAAATACAAGTGAATATCACATTGCCTCTGCCCTCGTTGGATCAAAGTCTAAGTGAAGGATACCTGAATTCGTTCAGTAGAATACAGAGTGTTAAATGCCTTCACAGAGATATGGAAACAATACTGTGGGAACCCAGAGGAAGTAATGCTTAGGTGTGGCTAAAGAATACAGGAAAGCTTCAAAGGGGAAGGAACTTTTAAGATGGGTTTTGTAGGATAAGTAGAAGTTCACCAATTCCTTCCTTTCTCCCATCCTTCCTTCTTTTCTTCCTTCCCTCCCTCCCTTCCTTTCTGCCTTCCTCTTTTCTTCTTCCCATCTTCTTTATCAACCTTCCCATCTCCCCTTTCTTCTCACCCTTCTCTCCTACTTTGTTCCAGGCATTTTCTGAAGTAGGCCCAGGAGACATAGTAAATATAAAGCACCAATCCTCAAGACACTTTCCCTTTTCCAGAGAAAGGGAATAACATGTGAAGAGCCCTAAAGTCTGAAAGAACCTGGGGTGTTTGGGGACAGCAACTTCATTTTTACTGGGGTGTCGTGGCTCAAAACATGAAGGAAATGTCATGCTAACAGCCTAAGGAGTTTACAATTTTCTTTCAAGGAATTTGGGGGCAAAGCAATTGTATGAAGAGATTTAAAATGACATTTACCACCTTTTACGTGGTACCTGAAGTGACTCTAAATGGTACGTAGCTGTGACATTAATTAATACTGACTGATGCTGGTTTTCCATTATATGTCAGTACTTCTGATTACCTCCAGGAGAGTCTCGGTTTGGTGCTGCTGGGTCTTTGACACCCATCTTGCACTTGCTAATCTTTCTTTTTAACAAAGCAGAGCCTTCCTTGCAATATCTGGCTATAATTTTATCACATTATTTTGTTGTCATCCTATTTATTCCTATGGAAAGCTCCTGTATGAGAAAAAACAGATGACTGTTTTTTCATATGTGATAGTGAAATAAACTTAAAAAAAATGGATCCATTTAAAAATATATATAAAGTAAATGATGGTATAGGAAACCCATAGATCCCACAAAAATTCTAACAGGGTGAGTAAGTAACTGAACAAGAGCAACATGGATGTCACTTGCACGTTGACATGAGCAGGTGAGGTCAGAAGCCTGCCGGCCAGTTAGGGGCTATGGCTTTAGCCCGGGTGATAGAGAGCTTGAGCTTGGACCAAGGTATCCTCCAAAAGGATGAAGAAAAGGAGTAGGTGGCTGGCGTCTAGAAGCCCAGTCATGGGCAGGAGACACCAGGGCAAGTTCTAGTAGGTGACACTAGCCCACTGGGCAGGCTGATCTGCCACAGGGAGGCCCAGTGGCAGATGAGAGAAACCAAGTTCCAGAGCCCAGGTCTAAGACAGTGAAAGTACTGGGCATGAAGACAAGAATTTTGGATTCTGTTCTTGGCCGTGAGTGCCAAAGTGAGCTTGTACACAGAGGGTTCCAGGAGCAAGAAGCATCTCACTGCTGGGTCTGAAACCTGGCTGGGCACCGCATTTACTGGGGGGAGTATGAAAAAGGCAGAGCTATAGGCCTCAGTTCAGACGTACTTAATTAGAATCTTCAAAGCCGGATCCCAGTGTACTGTATTTTTCACAGATGCCCTGATAATTCTCATGAACACTACCTGGATGCAACCACTGTGTAGCGGCTCTTGCTACTCAAAGCAAGGTTCGTGGGCCAGCAGCATGGGCATCACCTGGAAGCTTGTTAGAGATGCAGGGTCTCACCTGAGGCAGCACCTCAGCCCTACTGAGCCATTTTAATGAGATTCCCAGAAAAGCTATGTGCATATGAAGGTTTAAGAGGCCCCGGCCTAGACTAGTGGTTTTTAATCTTGGCTGCACGTTGGAGCAGCTAAGGACCTTTAAACCAGAGTAACTGGGAGTGGGGTCCAGGCATCAGTATGAGTTTTCTCACATTAAACCTTTTAGGCATATTCAGTTGTAAGAAATAATACAGAGCACACGCCTGTAGTCCCAGCTACTTGGGAGGCGTAGGTGGGAGGATCCCTCAGGCCCAGGAGTTTGAGACCAGCCTGGGCAACATTGCAAGACCCCATCTCTAAAACAAAAGAAGGAACAATGCAGAGCAGTCTCATGTACTCTTCACTCGGTTTCCTCCTGTGGTAGCATCTTGCAAAGCTGCAGTACAATGTCACAACCAGGTTATTGGCATCGACACAATCAGAACACAGAATGTTTCCATCACCATGTTGTCCTTTCATAGCTACATCCACTTTCCTTCTCACCTCCCCTACTTCTAACGCCTGCCAGTCACAATCTGTTCTCCATATCTATAATTTTGTCATTTCAGGAATATTCTATAAATGAAATCATAGAGTGAGTAACCTTTGGGATTGGCTTTTTTAACTCAACACAGTTCTCTGGAGATTCAGGTAGGTTGTTGGGAACATTAGTAGTTCATTCCTTTCTCCTGCTGAGTAGTATTCCACAGTTGATAAGCCATTCACCCATCCAAGGGTATCTGGTTGTTTTCAGCTTTGAGCTATTGTGAATAAAGCTGCTATAAATATTCATGTACAGGTTTTTGTGTGAAAATAATTTTTCCTTTCTTTGGGATAAATGCCCAAGAGTGCAACTGCTGAGTCATACGGTAGTTGCATGTTTAGTGTTTTAAGAAACTACCCTGCCCTTCCAGAGTGGCTGTACCATTTTACATTCCCACCAGGAATGTATGAGTGATATAGTTTCTCTGCATCCCCATCAGCATTGAGTGTTGCCACTGTTTTTATTTTAGCCACTCTAATAGGTGTGTAGTGATATATCATTGTGGTTTAATTTGCATTTCTCTGATGGCTAGTGATATTGAACATCTTCTCGTGTGTGTGTGTGTGTGTGTGTGTGTGTGTGTGTGTGTGTCTGTGTGTGTGTGATCTGCATATCCTGTTTGGGAAAATGTTTCCTCGTGTCTTTTGCCCATTTTCTCATGGGATTGTTTATTTTTTGTGGAGTTAGTTCTTTTATTTGAGACAGGATCTCACTTTCTTGCCTGGGTGAGAGTGCAGTGGTGTCATCATAGCTCACAGCAACCTCAAACTCCTGGGTTCAAGTGATCCTCCTGCCTCAGCCTCCTGAGTGGCTCTGACTACAGGTGTGCACCACCACACCCAGCTAATTTTTCTGTTTTTTGTAGAGATGGGGTTTCACTTTTGCTCAGGCTGGTCTCGAACTCCTGACCTCAAGCGATCCTCCCACCTCGGCCTCCCAGAATTCTGGGATTACAGGTGTGAGCCACCCCGACCAGCCTGAGAGTTCCTTATGTAGTCTAAATACTGATCCTTTGTCAGATATGGGGCTTGCAAATATTTACT